AGAGCAACCGAAAAGTGAGAGAGAGAAAGTTTGAGAGAAGGAGACGTCTGAGCGTGACTGTGCAAGCAAGTGGTGGTCGTGTGTGTGTGTGTGTGGGCAAAAGACACTGTTGCCGCCGCTGGTTAGACTGCAGCAGTGAGCGAGGCTAATGGTCGGACTTATAATGGTGCCAAGTGGTGGCGAATAACAAACAAAGCCATCCACATGACAGTACGACGACGCTGGCTGGCTGGCTGGCTAGGACGCGAGGCGATGGGAAGTGTAGTTGCAAATAGGCTCGCTGCTGCAGTGAGCAGTGTGGAAGTAGCAGGAACAGTACAGCACAAGCAGGGAGCGAGCGCCTAGTACTCTCTGGCAGCAGGCACCACCACCATGGAGACTAATCGAAGTAGAGCACAGGAGACAAGAGCGGGGGAGGCACAGACGCAGTGACAGAGTCACCAGTGAAGGCACCAGCAGTGTCGCGAGCTGGTGAACAACACCGAGATGGTGATGACGGAGGTGGTGATGATTTCAATGGGGATGCACACACACACACACTCCTTCGATGCTATCAAGTCTACTGGCGAACTGATGAAAGGAGAGCAATCAAAAGTGCCGAAGAGGAGCTCGATGGAGCAATAATAATAATAGGAATTAAAAGGATTTCTGAGCTGTACGGTTCAGGAGCGGCAATGGTTCGTCTTGGTCGCCGTACCGTCTTCGAATGACTATTTTATAGTGTGCCTTTCGAATTCTACCTCTCTCATTCACTCTCTCTCACTCTTGTACTTTCGGACTACACTACCCCCACCACTGCTCGGGTGTTGCTGGACACACTGTTGAGCACTGGGATAGACACAGACACAGACCACAGACCACAAGCACTAGCAAGCGCAGTGCCACCACCACCACTTCTCAAAACATGCAGTTTGACTTGAAGCAGCGTCGAAGTGCAGCGGCAGACAGCAGAAGGACTCGCCGCCAGTCACCGAGGGCTCTCAAAACGAAAGATGCCTGTCTCATCGAAAGGCATCGAAGGATCACACTGCATCAGCAACAGCACAGCTGTCAGAGTTGTTTGCTCACAAGACACACCAACACACACACATGTGTGATGATGTTGCCTTACATAATTAGCAAATGCTAAACCAAATCCCAAAGAGATAAGAGTGATGAGGGCGGCTAATGAAAAGTGAATGGGCAGCAACAGCATTCAGTCAGTTAGTGTGTGATGATGATGATGATCAGTCACTATGATCTTAGTAAGCAGCTGCAGCCGCAGCAGCATTAGCAGTCATCATCACTTAGGCTGATCAGCAGCAGTGGAAGTTAATGCAATCACTAGTAACATTCTTCAGGTTGCGTCAATCATCTGATCAGCAGAAGCAGTGGACTGGAGAACACGGGATTTTGCCTCCTCTTCTGCAGAAAAGCAGTCAGCGGCGGTTCATACTTTTTTCGTTTTCATTTGCTCAAACATCTCAATTTCCATTTGGTGCGCCTAGAAAGTGCGGTGGAAGTGTGCTTGAAAGCACAAACCACTGCAGCACTTCCCCTGAACAGCAGGACGAGGACTGTACAGCAACAGCAGGGCGAGTAGCAACAGGAGCAGCATCAGCTACTGCTCGCTAAGCCGCGAGATGTAATCAATGGTGCTGGGCAATTTTCAAAGTAAAGATTCACACAGCAAATAGCACACTGTGCACACCGCCATCATTATCAGCGATGGTGATCGCCGATAATACTGCTGGGAAGTCGAAAAATGTCAATAGCTGCCGAAAATTGCAGCAGCAAAAAACTGCTGTACTGACGTCTATTAATAGGCCAGTGTTTGCTCGAACCGAGGACTCCCAGTATCAGCTTCCCAATCGAATCAGTGGATTGGATTGACAAAAACGATGAAGAAAACTTACTCGCACTCAGTTTTGACAACTACAAGCTATGGACTGCTGCTGCTGCTGCTGGCCAACCAGAGAACCTCCCTAAACACGGCAGGGGTGTACAGAAGTGCCTGAAGGCATTGAGCACTGTACAACAACATCTCAAGGAGCAGCAGGACTACCGGCTACGGCTAGGAGGCTGGAAAAGTGTGGAAAAGTCTACCTCAGAAGTTGTGGGCGCCTTTGCCTCCACACTGCCTCTGCCTCTGCCGCCTCCTCTTCGTCTCCTCTCTGAACTGCTGCTGGCAAAGTTCACCCGAGGCAGTTACGTGATGTAATGGTAATTGTACTTGTTATGAAGTCGACCAGTAGGCAGAGGCACACTACATGGACCGGCTAGCTATGATCAGTCGCTGGAGCTGTGGCCACAACCACCACCACCGTGTGTTTGCACTGCCATCGGCAGTCAGTTACATGCGCGCACTGTGTGAACGCAGAGCTGCTCAGTGCGCGGAGTTCGGTCCATTAGCGATTAATTTCCATCAAAGGGTGACAGCTCAAGGCTTGACACGGAGCAAGTAGTAGCAGTGGTAAAAAGAAGAAGAAAACGAAGAAGCTGAAGAAGCTGAAGATGAAGAAAGAAAAAGAAGTAGTGGCAGAAAAACAGCATGGCAAATATATTCGCGTGCTTCCCAATCGCCGTGGTGGCGGCGGCGTCGTCGTTGACGGGAGCAAAAAGAGTGCGATGCATTGCTCAGTTGCGTCAATATCTGCCAGTGATCTCTCACCGCCTTTCTGCCGGGTTATCTCTTTCTCCGAGACGATCTTTGGCGACAGGTGCAACCACTGACTGACTGGCTAGTTAGCTGTCCTCTCCTCCTGTCAATCCTCCTCTTTCTCCTGTTCGACGGTTCTCGACCCTCACAGGTTCGCTCAGTCATGGTACACAGTCATTCATCCATCCCCCGTACACTCAGGCCATCAACACCGACTGAAGTGCTGCTCCTCTTCACAGCCATCAAACAAGCTTCGAAAGGGGACAAAGGTTAGCTGTTAAGCGAGAGAAAAAACAGCAGGCGACTGAAAATTCCATTTGAGATGTGTTAGCACGCTGGCGAGTGAGAGAGATAAGGCGGAACTCAAGGTGAACACCACAGCAGCGAAGAGCAGAGCAGATGAACGCTGACTGAGACGAGCTAAACTGGCCAGTGTAGCATCGCAGCAGCAGCAGCTAAGCATTTGCAAGCAAGCAAGCAGCAGTGTCTCCAAGTGAGTGCCGATCAGTCGCCTATCTGCGAGGTTTGCAAGGCAGCACAGATGCGTGGCTCCATTGCAAGTGCTCAGCAAACAGCACGAGGTCGAGCGATTAAAGGTCGAAGTAAGGCAAGTAGCTGACTGGCAAGTAGCTGAATGCAGCAACAGCAGCAACAGCAGATATCGGCGGCTGCTGTACGCGTGTTACCGGGGACCAACCAATGTCATTGCCCTGCGCAGGCAGCCATTGGAAAGCGGAGCAAGTGGATTGTACAGATTGAAAGCGATTGGGAACGACTGAAAATGTACAGTACAGTACTGTAAAATACCTAAGCGATAGTGACTTTTCCGGCGGATAGTGGAAACCTGGCACCTCTGGCCAGAAATGAAAAGGAAAGTGAGTGTCTACTTACTTTCGCTTTGGCTTCTCCTTTACTGCTGGAACGGCTGTCAGCGAGTTGCTGGAGTCCATGGCGATGTTCAGCTTAACGGTGCCAACTGTGCTCATTAGCAAATATTGTAGCTGTACGACTGAAGCAGTAGTTGCTAGGCGAAGTGGACACACTGTAGACACACTGCCAGTCGAGGGGAAAACGATGCTAGTTTTTAAGAGGCCTCTGGGCTGGAGTCAGTCAGTGGTGAGCGATCTAGCAGTAGTAGTAGTGGATGTGCTGTAGTGATGTTGAGTGACTTCAAATGCTTGATCTGTGTGATGAGGTGATGCTGTTGTGAGTATGTTTGTGAGTTTGGTGCTATCTAGTAGACAGAAGAATGGTCCCGCTGTTTCTGCTTCTGCAGATGCTGAAGTTGCGTCAGTAGAGTGAGGTGGCCAGTTAGGTGAACCAGTGGAGTCATTATCATCAACAGTAAACACACGGGGAAGTAACTGCATATCTCATTGGTTCTGCTAATGCTGAGGATGGTGGTGGTGGTGGTGATGGTGGCGATGGTGGTCCTGGTACACAGACAACCAGTGGTCTGGAGGATGAAAGGCCTTCTCCGGAGTGTTTGGTGGTGGTGGTGGTGGTGGACAGTGGTACGAGTACGGAGGCGAGAGAGGTCGGATGAGGACGAATGGTGTGCTCCTGCTGCTGCTGCTGCTGATGTTGGTGCTGCGCTTGAGTCTGTAGTGTGTGTTTGTGTGAGCTTGTGACTCCACGAGAGAGAGAGAGAAAGAAAGAGAGAGGAAAAGAAGGAAAGAGAGCGAGGGAGCGAGAGAGTGAGAGAGAGAGAGAGAGGAACTCACAACACAAACATACGAGCAGAGAGAAAGAAAGAGAGAAAGAAAGTCTCTGCCTCCTGGATTCAGCACTGGATACAGTCAACTAAAAAGGCAGAGAAAAAGCGAGAAACTTTCTATAAAGGAGACTTCAAAAACTGCTTTCAAAAAAGGCCAAGAATTAGCCACTTTTCGAACACTTCCTGTCAAGTCATTGCTGAAGTTAGCGAAAAAGGGGGTGAAATCTGTACAAAATGACGGAAAAATGACGTAGAAAGTGGTACCCTTGGACGTACAGTTTTTTCGGTGAAAATGTTTGTGTGTATTTTGGCTTTTGTACAGTGAAAAGTGCAACTTTGATGCCGTTTTTCTTGGTTATGGCGTAGAATCGACCCGACATGTCTGCTATTTTTGAAAGTAGCTCGCACAGAAGAATCTAAAACTGTCATAAATTCTGGTTTTAATTTTTGAATCCATTTTGGTCTTTCCCTTTTTAAAAAGGTCGAATTGATGTATGCCGACATCTATCGACCATCGACAAACTGAGTTTGACGGCGACTGAAGGCGTAATATTTTGTTGTCATTTTGTTGTTTTGTTGTCGTATATCGATTCGGTATCCCTTCCCTGAAGAGGCAGTTGCAGTAGCTGACCGTGAAGAGATACGATGGCAGTCAGACCGGCGGGCATCTACAGTGTGTACATCATCTCCAAGTCAGGTGGTCTCATCTACAACTACGATGTCGAGTCTAACTTTCCCAGCACCGAGGTGGAGAAGACGTTTGGGTATCCGCTGGACATCAAGCTCGGCTATGCCAACCAGCGAATATCCGTCATCTTCGGCCAGCGTGACAATATCAAGGGTAAGCAAACTGACTTGAAGCTTCAACAAGGCAAAAACTAATGTCCTGTTTCCTTTAGTCGGCTACACACTGCTAGCCATCAACGGCGATCCGGTCAGCGGCCGAAAGTACAAGGACGTGGACATTCTTGATGAATTCCTCGTTTCAGAGGAAAACTACCCGCTTAATTTAAAGTAAGATAGATCTTGGTCATTGTTATCAACCTGCAACTAAACCTGAACCTTCCCTAGATTCGGCCTGCCACCCCTGAGCACCAACGAGAAGATCGTCATGGCTTCGATGTTCCACTCGATGTACGCCATTGCGGCGCTGCAAATCATTCCAACGCGTAAAGACCGGANGATAGATCTTGGTCATTGTTATCAACATGCAACTAAAGCTGAACCCTCCCTAGATTCGGTCTGCCACCCCTGAGCACCAACGAGAAGATCGTCATGGCTTCGATGTTCCACTCGATGTACGCCATTGCGGCGCTGCAAATCATTCCAACGCGTAAAGACCGGACCGCCTGTACGGGCATCGAATCAATGGAGACAAACAACTTTCGCCTGAACTGCTACCAAACACTGACCGGCGTCAAGTTTCTGCTGATCAGCGATCTGCGTGAGGCCGCCAACAAGGACACCTTGCTGCGAAAGATCTACGAGCTGTACACCGACTACGCACTGAAGAATCCATTCTACAAGCTCGACATGCCCATCAGGTAAGCCATAAACCAGATGTAGAAAAAACTGTTTTTCATTTTGAAACTCTCTGCAGATGCGAACTGTTTGACCTCAATATTGCTCAACTTTTGGACACCAGCGACAAGTCCACGGCTGCCGGTCACGACACCGGCTCGCACATTTTCTAGATACTGCTGCTTTTTTAAATTTTACAACTTCTTGATGATCATTTGTGTTTATAATGTAAATATCAATATAAAAACTCGTTATCTTCTTTTTAATTTCTGAAAAAGTGATATCGGTAAAAATGCTCATGGGACAACTACTGCTGCAAGGATGAGGCTGCTCTTACAGAAGAGAAAGGAAGCCGGGCAGGCACATCACAGCCTCTGCATTGAGCAATGTGTGCAGTGCACTGCCAGTGGTAGTGCTCAGTAGTCCGTAAATATATCCCAGGCGACAGAAGCAACTATAGCGGAGAATCGGTGCTTTCTTTCATCAGCCAGCGTGCCATCGGCCATGCTAAATGAGCTGACGAGGATGATTTTCACTCAAACTCGTACCATCTAGACTAGAAGACTTCAACACATACTTGCTGACAATCAGTGCCTCTCTGCTGACAATTGTCGATTGAAGTTGTAGACTGTTTTCAGCAGTGATCAGCATGGCCAAAACCACCGTCACCGAGTTGATTAAGCAACTCTATGAAAGTATGTTTGCTGTAGAAAGTTTACTTTATTTTGTTACTTAACTTCACCTTCCAACTTGATAAACAGAAGTTGAGTATTTAAGCTTGAATCCGTCTGGAGATGCCATTGAGGAGCACCGACAAATTGATGCACTGCTTTGTGAACTGATTGAAGCCGAAAAGGGTTTGTTTGCCTGCTTAGAACCACTTCTGATGCTCATCACGCGTTACTATTTCTTTTTTTATTTAAGTTTCAACATCCACGTCGATTGATTTGCCAAACCGCCAGGAGAAATGGCCTCAATTTGTGCGCTGGTGCAGTGATCAGGGTGTTCCAATGGATCAGATTGAAGTGAAGAAGGTGAGCGCTGATGGCGAATGCGGTCTCTTTGCTCTGCAACCATTCACCCGCAATGATGAAGTGCTCAGAGTGCCCAGGAAGATGTTCCTCTCTCGTGAAACGGTGCCGAATAATCCGAGTTTGAAAAGTAAGTGGAATTTGATGTGCTCACAGATTGTGCCGAATCTAACGCTCAACCTCGTCTCGTCACCTTTCTGCTGCACAGACTTCCTCATCAAAGATCCGCTCATCTCTCAAATGCCCAATCTGGAGTTGACCATTCTCCTGCTCAGCGAGTACCTGAAGGGTGAATCCTCCTTCTGGTGGCCGTACCTGTCGACACTGCCCCGCTCCTACAGCACCGTACTGTACCTCAGTCACGAGGAGCTGCTGCAGCTGAGCGGCAGTCCACTGCTCGAGGAGGTGGTCAAGATTAAGCGCAGTGTCGCCCGACAGTACGCCTACCTCGCCATGAAGGTTGAAAGGGCAGCGCAGGTGAGGACGACGAAAAGAGGCGACAGGGGTAATCATAAAAAGAACACCATCACCACCATCACCACCAACGGCATCAGTAGTTTTCTAAGTCCCCTGACGTACGAGCTGTTTCGGTGGGCAGTGTCCACGGTGATGACACGGCAGAATTTAGTGCCGAGTGAGGCCGATCCAACGAAGGCGAACACCCTGGCGCTGATTCCTCTCTGGGACATGTGCAATCATCGACAAGGCAATGTACTGTCACACCTCTTTATATGTGAAGAATTGCCCACTCCTAATCCTTTTCCGCGCTCAGTTTTGCACCGACTTCGATCCCTCTTCGGCGACTCTAGTCTTCTACTCAATGGCCGACCTGCAGGCAGGCGATGAGATCTTCAACTACTACGGCGATCGCACCAATGGCGACTTCTTCCTTAACAATGGCTTTGTTTACGCTGACCATAAGAAGGACGCAGTACGCATTAAGCTGGGCTTCAGCAGCGGTGATATACTGTACCCCCTGAAGGATGCTCTGGCCAATAATATCAATCTGCTCACCACCGAAAACGGTGCCCAGTTTAAGCTGGCTCACCGGTCATCACCGCTCAATCCACAGCTGCTGGCATTTGTGCGCATCTTTCACCTCGACAAAGGTAAGTGGCTTATTTGTCTGCTTGCTCACCATTAGACACTTGTTTCACCTGTTGACCTCCTGCTATAGACCAACTTGAACATTGGCTGACCCTTAACGAAAAAGAGGTCTTTTACGATGCTCAGTGTGAGCAGTTGCAGTTTCTCGACGACAAGGTGGCGACCTTCCTCAAAATACGCTGCACTCTGCTGCTGCGAAAGTACCCAGCAATACCGGCGGGCGCCTTCCTGAACCCAAACGTGGAAAAGATAATCGCCTGTGAGAAGGCCATCCTCTCCAGTTATACTTAAGTTGTAAACTTCTTTGAAAGCTTTCTTATTATTGAAAATCATGGCGAATCAATTGCCTGTGTGCAACGAGCTCAGCGTGGTGCGAGTCATCTGGTGTCTGTCAGTCGGTGCCAAATAATAATAAATAATGCCTTAGGTAAAGAAGAGACAAAAAAGGAAAGGAAGGAAAGAACGAAAGAAAAGAGGACTGCCTCAAAAACAGCAACAGGAACGGCGCCGTGGTGCTAAAGCTTGAGGTGGTTGGGCGAGAAGGCGTATTTGAGTTGGTAGGCATCGGCGACGAGCATCTCAATCTCGCGGTTGGACCAGTGGAAGCTGGGCAGGTTCTGCAGCCGCAGCATCAGCCCCTGGAAGTCCTTCTCCTGCAGTAAGCTCTTGGACCAGAAGCGGAGAAAGGCGGCGCAGACGAAGAGGTGAAAGGCAGAGGCGAAGGGCGTCCCCGAGCTGACCGTCCAGCTGCTCAGCTCGCTGCTGTCGTTGAAGTTGCTGGAGGGCACGTAGGTGGCGGTGACCGCGCCCTCCGACAGGTACGTGTCCCACAGGCGGATGATGCAGCGCAGGGGAATCTCCCGAATCAGCAGGTTGTTCATCCACCGAAAGGCGAACTGCAGGTACTGCACCGAGTTGCGCTCCAGGTGCTCGTGCAGGCTACGGTCGGCGCGGGAGACGACCCGCGCCAGCTGATTGACCAGCCGCTGGATGCCCGGCTGAGCGAAGGTGTAGTTGTCCTGGATGGAGTCCAGCAGCTTGTTGAAGGACCANGATGCCCGGCTGCGCGAAGGTGTAGTTGTCCTGGATGGAGTCCAGCAGCTTGTTGAAGGACCAGTAGGAGTCGGACTCGACGCTGGCCAGCACCTCGTCGGGGAGGGTGCTCACGTCGAAGGTCTCCACGCTGGCGAAGCAGTGGCCGGGCACGTACTCGGAGAGGTAGGTGACGAAGAAGGGCGTCACGAGGTCGTTCATGCCCTGGACGTAGCCGCTGGCCGGGTGGCGGATCGACCAGATGTAGAGGATGCGCTCGAAGATGCCCTGGACGATGGGCTGCTGGAAGATGGAGATAAGGGGCTGCATGCGCGGAATGTCAATGTGAATCTGCCGGTAAATGTCGTCGTTCTCCGTGCGGTTGTAGTAGTACTGCTCCACCAGGTGCTGGTACTCCGCCTGCTTGTGCTGCAGGGCCACCTCCCGTTTGGCGCGGATGGCGGGCACGTAGCCCAGCAGCAGCTTCCACACCAGCGGCCGCTCCTCGTTGATGATGCCGTTCCAGGCGATGGTTCGTAATACGTTCAGGTCGGTCACCTCGTCTTCGTGGATCAGCTTCCGCAGTTTGGCCACCTTTGGGTCTACTTCAGCGGTGGTAGTGGTGGTGGAGGTGGTCGTCGTCGCCGACCTGCTGCCGCCCTCTCCTGTTCTCAATGAACTGCTGTTTGGTGTTGCTGCTGTGCTGCTGTATTGTGATGCTGGGCCGCTGGAAGAGGAGTTGTGGAGGGTGGCAGAAGTGGAGGAGGAGGAAGAGGTGGAGGCATGCTGGTGATTGCTATTTACATTTGTGTTGATTGGAGAGTTGGTGTCCTGCAGAAGAAAAAAGGAAAGGTTTTAGAAAAAACGGCAAATTGAAGAACAATTAACTTACCAGTTCTTTGATGTGAATCGCCGGCCTGGCGCCGTACTTGAGCCGACTCGTCGGATTGCTGTGGGAGCTCTTATCGACGCCTTGAAAGGATATTTTATCCTCGATCTTGTGATCCCAGGCATCGTCACAGGAGGCAGTAAACTGCTCAAAGCTGCTGTTGTTGTGTACATTCACCGCCCGGCGGTGGTGGTCGCTGGCCCTCGCCAGTGAGTCGGAGGAGGTTCGCAGCAGTTTGCCCTTTTCCTCGACGTTGGACTGCCTCGCCAGTCCGGGGAACTTTAGTATCGCCGTCATTGCTGGCTGACTCGAGGTCGATGGCTGCGCCTGCTTTGAGGAGTTCTTGAACGAATTTGACATGCTGCTGCAGTGGAGTAGGAGGAGGAGGAAGACTTTGGGGAAGAGGAGTTGTGACACTGGCGATGGTGATGATTAGGGGAACGGTGACAAGACGCCGCAGCACAGCTCATTTGGGTGTTTAGCGGCGGCGGCTGCAGAGCTGTATCACTCGAAGCACACAAATCAGACAGACAGACAGTCACTTCAACGAGGGCACATTGCTTCACCGTCACAACTCCAGTGCACTCTTCTACCTATCTTTGGTCTTGGCCACGGTCACAGAGTTGGCCTGCGATGCTGCAGCAGGAGGAAAGTTGTGATGGTGATGGTCGTCGTTGTGTGTTGTTGTTGCTCTTCTGCCTTCCTCGTCTTCGTCTTCTACCTTCAGAAGACTCGTCACTTCTCGTGATGGTACCACTGTGCTGTGTACTCTACGTAATGCAGGCGAGGATGCTGGCGAGAAGACGTCTCCGCTGCTGCTGCTGCTGTGCAGTAGAGAGCATTGTTGTTGTGGTTCCAGCTTCTCAGCCAGGTAAGCAGTGGTGGTCTCACTGGTGGCTAGTGGATGGCGCCAGGTTACCTTCTCACTCGAAAAGATCACACTTCGCACTTGGCAGTGAACGAGTGCAAGAGTCTTCAAGACGTCAGGTCGCCCCGCTTATCAGCGCTCTCATCAGCGCACCGACTTCAGCAAAAAATGTGATACCATCGATGGGAAGGGAGAAAGAAGGAAAGAAAGAGAGGGAACGAGTCACACCACCGACATTGAATTCGCAGAGTGTACATCCATTCCGTCCCCCATCAAGTATGCAAAAAAGTACACTCACACTTGTGACAAACAACAACCAAGTACAATAAGAAGTAGTTGGTATTATTTATTGGTTTATTTTTGAATTGACAATCAGCTGGCTGGCTGGCGTGCAGCACAGGTGAATGATGAGGAGGGCCTTACGGTCGAAGTCTTATGTACAATAATAATTAGTCAATCAGGATAAGTTATAAGTAAGCGTAGGAAATGGTGTAAGAAAGAAGTAGACTGATAAGAAGGCAAATGAGGCTGTAAAGAGTGATGATGGTGATGGTGATGATGGTTCGTTCTTTCCTTCTTTCCAAACTATGAAGTTATGACACTGTGGGTTGCGTACGCAATGCAAGGTAGAAGGTTCGTCAAAAAGTGGTAGCAGTAGCGGTGGTGCTTGAAAGTCAAAAGGGTAAGTATCAGTATTGAGTAGGTGCACTCAGTGAGCCATTCGAGTCATTGGTGGAACGCTGCTGATGCCCTAGGGAAGTCCAAATCATTCATTGTTAGAAGCCCTGATCTTTTTGCCTCCAACTCTGCAAAAGCTTACTCTGTTGTTGCTCCTTGTAGCGCTCAATGGCCCGTTCTCGCTCCTTGTCATCAAAGTACCAGACAGTGATGGCGAAGCGAAGTCGAGACGACTCGGTCACCTGGTGAGGATTGCGCTTGTCGGAGAAGAAGAAGATGACCCTGTTGAAACGGGGCTCAATATTCGCCACAATGCCGTCGTTCATTTGCGGAAAGAGGCGCAACACGCCGCCATCACGCTGCGCATTGTAGTCCTTGTTCAGGTAGTAAATACTGGTTATGCAACGACCTGCAAGGAGAAAAGGAAGAATGTTTTACAAGGAAAAAGCAACAACTTTTTTTCATTTCAAGCACGTACCATCATTATTTGGATTATCAATGTGGCGGACGTACTTGGCGTTATTGCCCGGGTAGCAGGCAATCATCGCCTTGGTCCGCCGGCTAATGTTGTACTTGTGAAACTCGCCATTGGCATAGGTGGTGTTGCACTTGGTGATGATCGAGTCGAGGATGCGAATGAGGAAACCAATGTGATTGCACAGCGTCTCATTGCCCTCCACCCAGATGATCTGGTCGCCGCGAATCATCTTGGTGTTGGTGCTCGTCGTCCGGTGGTTCACCACCTGGCCCGCCCGAAAGAGGCCCTTGTCGTAGAGGAATTTTACCTCCTCGAGGATCTCTTCGCCGTTCTGCAGAAAGTTGTCTATCACACAGAATCCGTACTGATTCATGTCTTTGAGGATGATCTGACAGTAGGTGGTCAGATTCCTGAAGACGTCATCACGGTTGGATATCACAGTGGGGAAGCCTCGGTTGTTGCTGTTGCCACCGCCGACACCGCTACCTTGGCCATTGCCCTGACCATTGCCGGAGGACGCCGATTGCTGGCCGCCGAAACCAACAGAGGAATCACAGATTTGGACGCTGGACATGGGCGGCGCCATTTGATGCTGTTGGACAGAGGTGGTGGGAACGGTGGCATTTCCAGTGCCATTGTTCATTTGTGAGTTGGCTTGCATTGGCACTGTATTCTGTAAAATCAGTCGGTCGGTGGAGTTAGTTTGTGAAACAATAGCAAGCAAAGAGAACCTACCTCGTAAGAAAAGTTACTGTGTGGTTGAGCTCTAAAGGACGAGGTGCCCTCAGCGTGAGACATCGACATTGACTGACTGTGGTTTAGGCTTTGGCTGCTGGCGAGGTTTGAGTTGTTGTGGTGGTGCCCGATGCGGCTGGCAGCACCACCGTTGCCGCCAACAATCACCGATTGACCACCACCATCACTGGTGCCCGTGTCCATTTGATCGGTGACTGGGGAGACGGTGGCAAAGGTGCTGCTGCTGCCCCCGCCGTCGCTGCCGCATCTGCCGATGCTGTCACCGTTGGTGCCGCCATTAGCTCTGTACACTTTGCACCAACTTTTATGATCCTTCCAGTGGGCTATCTGATGCTCTCGGCTGCAGTAGTTCACTTTCAGACAACTTCCACAGGACTTTAAATTGGTGGTCAGTCCGCATACTGCACATGACATCTCGTCGATGGTGCTGGTGTTGGATTACACTCTGAGGCACTTCTTCAAACTGCTGCTCAAACTCGCTCAACAAGGGGGCTCGTTTTCGGCTTCCTTTTTGTTGTTGTCCTTGGTACTTTTCCGTTTTCCGCTAACTGTATAGTTGTAGTTCAGGAAGAAAGACTCATGTCGCACTTGCACCAATGTCGGACAGCACTGACTCTTTGGTGGTGGTGTCAGGGGCAAATGACTGCCTGATTGAGAAGTTGGCTGGTGAGGGTGATTTGGCGCTGGTGCTGGCAGAAGATTACTGCTCGAAGAAGACACTACCTTCGGCCGCTGTTGCTTCTTATCGACTGCAAGTGGTCCACTACTCGTGAAGCACACTAGAAGTCAATGAAATGTTAGAAAGTGCTGTGATCTGCGCTGAGCCTGTGTGCTAGACTGCTGTCGCCGTGTTATCGTCGTTGATGCGAGTGCACTCCATGCACTGTTCACCACTGTGAGTCACGTAAACAGAAACAGTTGGAGTCACGTTCGCCAGCGCCACTGCAGCGCACTAGAGCACTCGATTTTGGGTCAGATGCGCGCGTAAAGTGGTACTCTCGCTGTTCCAGGTCTGTTGTACTGCGAAAAGCTGGACGGCTCTAGTGCAATGGACTCAAAAGCACTGCTCGGTGCATCCGCAGCAACGCTAGCACTAGCACCAGTGTGACTGTAACATTCACTGCACATTCAGTGCACACCATTTAAAAGATTTAAAAGAATTTACCCGGCAAAAGACTTCATCAATCATCGTCTGTTCGTGGTGAGTTCGGGGTGAGATCAGCAGATATGACTGCAACCTTTGCACTAAGGGAGTTGTCGTGTCATTGGCGACTGGAAAACACTCTAAATAACCGTTGCCAAATAAGTTTCACAAAGTTCTAAATTCAGAAATCTATGTTAGAAAACATGCAATCAGAATTATATTNCACTCTAAATAACCGTTGCCAAATAAGTTTCACAAAGTTCTAAATTCAGAAATCTATGTTAGAAAACATGCAATCA